TGAAAGGAGATTAAAATCGTCCTAGTTGTACAAAAGTACAGTTAGATAGAGGGACTAAATTCTAGTATTCATAGCACAGTAGGGTAATAGAGTTAACACCTTATTGTATATTTCAAATAGCTAGAAGAGAAGATTTAGAATGTTCCCAGTGCAAAGAAATGATAAATGTTGGAGCTGATGAATATTTTAATTGTCCAAATTTTATCATTACCCATGGTATGCATGTATCAAAATATTACATGTACCCCATAAATGCATATAATTATTATGCATTAATTAAAATACTATTTTAAAAATCACCCTAGCTGATGGAGAAAAATTCTTTTTTGATATGAGTTCCAGCTAATAAATGCAAAAAGACAAAAATGATCAGATTATTAGGTTGCAACCCCCAGTGAAATAATTGGGTCAGGTGATCATTATTGCCAGGTGAAGGCACTAGCTGAAAGGTTGATAGGAACTTTACAATGGGGAAGATGAGGTTGTCACATCCTGACCCATGATAGCTCACTAAAAATGGAACACCCAGAATTTGTGACCTTCCTGGTGGAATGCAATATCAGCATCATATCTGAGATGTTGTTATCCTCTCATATTGAGCTTGAGTCTAACCCAGATTTGAGAGCTAAATTTCACTTAAAGGGATGTAAGAACAAGTGAAATGACATTGCAAAGAAACAAAGAGACCAATCCAGCATGTGGGACATTCTACAGGGCGACTGACCTAGTTTCTGAACTAGTCAATGGTGTGACAGAGATGGGGGCGGGGGCAGGGGACCGTAAAGATGATTCTTGACTTACAAGTCAAGAAACATGCTAAGAAAACAACTGAGGCACAATCCTAGGACCTGGTGCATTTCTCAGAATCTGTGAAGCTGGATATGGTGGCTCACACCTGTAATCCCAGCACTCTGGGAGGCGAGAGGATTGCCTGCACCCAGGGGTTCAAGACCAGCCTGGGCAATTTGGCGAGACCTCGTCTCTACAATGGTGTTACAGAATGTACTTTTGACTTGTGACATTTTCAATTTACAAACCTGATGAAGCCCCATCATAAATCAAGGAGCAATCTTCATCAGAGAGACCCAGGAGACTTAAAATCTGATATAATACCTGGACCTAGTTTGGGTCCTGATTTAAACAAGCAAATCGGATTTTTTTTTCTTTAAGAAACCAGCAAAACTTTGTTATGGGTTAGGTATTAGATGCCAAGGAAATATTATCAACTTTGTTCAGTGTTTCAAGGGCCTTGTGGTGATGCAAGAAAATGTTTATAGCAATGCATACTAAAGTATGCAGGGCTTCGCTTTGAAATACTTTAACAAAGGAAAGAAAGAAGAAAAGGGACAAATGAAAATAAAGTAAGAAAATTCTGTCAGTTGCTGAATCTGGTTGATGTGTGTATGAAGAAAAAGTAAAAATAAACAAAACAGGGCAGATGAAACAAACGTGCCAACATGGTGAAAACTATTGGAACTGGAGAGGGGACTCTGAAGACCCTTTGGATTTCTATTTTTTGAGTATGTTTGTACTTTTTTTTTTTTTTTTTGAGTTGGAGTCTCACTCTGTTGCCCAGGCTAGAGTGCAGTGGCGCGCTCACGGCCACCACAGCCTCAACCCTCTGGGGTCAGGCAATCCTTCTGCCTCAGTAGCTGGAACTACAGGCATGTGCCACCACACCCAGATAATTTTTCTTTATTGTGGAGACAAGGTCTCACCAAATGGCCCAGGCTGGTCTCGAACCCCTAGGCTCAGGCAATCCTCTTGCCTCCCAAAGTGCTGGGATCACAGGTATGAACCACTGCGTCCAGCCTGTAATTTTTATAACATGCTAAGAACGCAACCGAGGCACAATCCTAGGACCTGGTGCATTTCTAAAAATCTGTGAAGCTGGGCATGATGGCTCACACCTGTAATCCCAGCACTCTGGGAGACGAGAGGATTGCCTGCACCCAGGGGTTCAAGACCATCTTGGGCAACTTGGCGAGACCTCGTCTCTATAATAAATAAAAAAATGAGCCGGGCATGGTGGCACACGCCTGTGGTTCCAGCTACTTGGAAGGCTGAGGCAGAAGGATCTCCATGAGCATGCTGCTGCATCCCAGCCTGAGTGACAGTGAGACTCTGACTCAAAAAAAAAAAAAAAAGGATTGTGTGCACTGAGATCAGACCACATGTGATTCCAGCAACATCTTGTGGGATGGATGGACCAGCCCCGTCGCTGTGCCCTTTAGTGCTCTCTGTGCCCAAGAGGAGGAGCTGAACATCACCTTTCTTTGTGTAGATTGCCAGTGTCAACCTAATCCCCTGCAAGAGCTCCATACATCTAAAAACAAGCAGGACTTTTCTAGCAAGGTGCAATACAAATCTTAATTTACAAAAAAACCATTTTCTAAGGGGAACTACCTGCAGGAAGACAACTGTGTAGAAAGTAAGCATTCTTTAAATCAATATGGGGAGAAGTGAAGCTTGGTGGACCCTCCACACCCCTTCTGGCTCCTTCCACAATAGAGGCTTTGCGCTGTCTTGACTTAAGCCAGATCTGTTGTTCAGGGACTGTTTGCTTCCAGGTGAATTCAAGCTATCACTTCTTTTGTTTTTTTGTTTTCCACGGTGGTATAATGCAACACAAAGTTTACCATCTTAACTATTTTTAAGTGTACAACCCAGTAGTGCTAAGTAAAGATGTTTCTCGACTTAACAACTGGGTTTCAAAACGCACTTTCGATTTATGTCATTTTTGATTTACAATGGGTTTGTCCGGATGCGGCCCCAATGTCAATGGAGGAGCTGTTGAATGTGTCGTGTGTTAAAATCCTGTGGAAAGACTGTACATGGAACCATCATAAGTGGGGGACAGTCTGTACATTCACGTTGTAGTGGATCCAATCTCCAGACCTCTTCACCTTGTAAAGCTGACACTGTACCCTCTAAACAACTCTCCATTTCTTCTGCCCCCCTGGCCCTGGCAACCCCATTCTGCTTTCTGTCTTCTGTGAATTTGACCACACTAGGAACCTCATGTTGGAACCATACCGTATTTGTCCTTTAGTGCCTGGCTTATTTCACTTAGCATAAATGGCCTTAAGGCTCATCCATGTTGTAGCGTGTGTCAGTATTTCCTTCCTTTTGAAGACTGAGTAATATTCCATTGTATGAATCTTCCTCCATTGATGGACATTCAAGCTTTCCACCTTTGGGCTATTGTGAATAATGCTGCTGTGAACTTGGGGACCAAGCCAGTACTTGTCACAATGTCAAGGCTTTCTCACAAAGGTTTCAAAAGCCCCAGGAACAGCTCTCAGCCCAGGTTCAAGTTCAAGGTGCTGTGAGCTTCTCTCCCTCTGAGAGGTCTACCCAAGCTCTCGGCTTGAGTGAGACCTCCCAAGAACCCGCATGGGTTTCTGTCCTTTTCCCTGGCACACTTGGCTTTAAAACAATAAAAATAACGCATGCTAACCAGAGCATAAAAAGGGGAAATACAGGTGCTGTTCATGACAACGTGTATCTTTCCAAAGCTTTATTCTAAACATAAACAAAGCATATTTTGCTTTTTTTTTGAGTTGGAGTCTCACTCCATTGCCCAGACTGGAGTGCAGTGGCACGCTCCTGGCCACCGCAGATCGGACCTGCTGGGCTCCAACGATCCTTCCGCCTCAGCCTTCCAGTAGTTGGAACTACAGGCGCGCTGCTTTTTTAATATAAAGTTTACTTTCTTATGCAACAGTGTATCATCATTCCATATGAGGGAAAGGTATTGAAAGTCTAAAATTATTTCCATCTTTATGCTGTTATGAACAATGCTGAATTGAATATCCTTAGGCAAACACACTTGTATATTTATGTATCATTGTAACATAGATGTGGAAATATTGGGTCAAAGTATATATACATTTAATACTTTGATAGATATAGCCAATTGCCTTTCTAAAAGATTATACAAATTTTCCTGTTAGCATTAAAGAAAGATTGGGTATATTCTTTCAAATTTAGGGCAAACATTCTAGTCTGTTCCTATTTGATGACCAAATATCCATTTTTCTCTCCAAGCAAATCTAAATAGCCTATACTGCTTAATTAAAATCTGCTTAGAAAATCTCAGAGAAGTTAGTTAAATCATCCGGTTTTAATGACTGTCTGCTTCTATCCTTAGGCAAACTTGATAAGCAAACGTGTAATTGTTTATTTCCACAGATGATACATTTCAGGTTTTTTCCTCTGAGGTATCAGGACATTCAAAGTTAATCTTATGTATATCTGCATCTCTTACTTTCGAGATGACATACACATATTTTTTAAAATATCACATCTCTTTGGAGCGAAACTTTTGTCCCCTGTGTCCTGCCCTTTTTAGAATTTTAACTGTTTAAAAAATTACAGATTGCTGGAAAGATCTGCTGCGCACAGCCTTTCATGCCCATCTGTCCCAAACCCCGGGTTTAATCACCTGAGCCACTCGAAGGGACTCGTGCTTGTCAGCCTAGGCAAGCGACTCCACAAATATATTTCCAGTCCGAAGACTCCATCAAATAAGGCAGAACACTACTCACTGCTGTGCGGATCTGCAAATGAACAATCGGTGGTTCCCATGAGCAACAGATACCCTGAGAGCAGTTTCTCGAGAGGGGAGGGCCGTTGGACATCACGTTCATGGATATTTTTGCTTCTCCGAAAAATAAATTCAAGCCAGGCTTCCCGCAGCGCCAAGCCCCACCTCGGCGGCCCTCAGGCCGGTGTCCCCAGCCCGGGATCCTTTTGTGTCTAGGCGTCCTCTCCAGGCGTGTCTACGCGGTGCCGAGGCCCATCCCGGAGGGGGAGGGCGGGGAGCGGCCGCGCCGCCGGCTGTCCTCTCCGGGAGGCGGCGTGGGTCCAGGCTCCGTTGTGATGCGACTATCGATTCGATTTGCCTCCCTCTGAAGATTCCAGTGGCAGAGTGACCCTCCCTCCCGCCTGTCCCCTCCCTTCCTCACCCCCACCCCCCGCCCCCCACCGCAGGATCGGAACGCAGCCGCCCTGCGCTCTCCTCCTCCTCCTCCTCTCTGTTCCTCTGGCTCCCGGATTCCTGAAGTTATTAGGAGAAATAAGGTAGCCGAGGGGACCCCATGGAAGTTGTGACAGCTCCCGGCGGCGCGCCCCTTTCGCGTGCGCCGGGACTCGGCTTAGGACTTGCCCGCTGTCTCGTTGAATGAAGGAGGGCCCCTGCCCGCCAGCCTGCCGGGATGGGCCACTGCTGCTGCAAACCTTATAACTGCCTTCAGTGCCTGGACAAGACGGTACTCTCTGCCTTCCCTCTCCCTTCTCCCCCCTCCTCCTTTGCAAGGACAGAGAACCAGCCGCGAGCCAGCCACCTCTGTCTGTGCTGTCCCCCTAGCATGCGAGCGCGCTTTGTTGGTGACCAGAAGGCTCCCTTGACTCGTTCCAGTGTGCAGAATTGTGAGTGGTGTGCACAGCAACGTTCAGGTCTCACACACTCTGCGGTGCCTTACATAATTCTGTATCCCTGCTGTCTCAAATGTAATTGTTGCATTATTTTTTTTTCCTGAAATAGTAGAGCTGTGCTCAAACATCTTGCAATCCAAACTGCCAAGAAATCCTTGCAATTTTCTTAATGCATTTTAATGTACCTGCAAAAACCTAAGACGTTCCAGTGGGGATTTTAGATGAGCCGGGCAGGCATGCTTTTCTTGGCCAAGTGCTAACTTTGAAAGTTTACCATTCGTTTTTAAAGGCAGCATCTGTCTTGGTAGTGTACATTCTTAACGTCAGGGAAGAAAGCACACCAGGGTGGCTATTCTCTCTGTACTGTCTTTGGATCACAGAAGAATGAATAACATAGAGGGGAAAACTTAGCCAGAGAGAGTCTGAGGGTGTGTCAAGCCTTGGCTGGAAGAAAAATTCACAGAGGAGTCTGAGTGAGAATTGTGTAGCAATTCCAACACAAAGCCTTTCTTTGGTTTTGACATTTGCTTGCACTGCGAGCTTGCAGAGGGATTGGGATATGCTTTTAATTTCACTACTGGAAATCTGTTGGCAAGACTCTTGTCTCCGTGATGTGTTTTATTATCATGTGCATTTGGATGTCTCAAAGATGCATGAAATGGAGCTTCACAAGGGGTTGAAATGGTCTCTTTTCTAATATCATCAGCTGTTAGACAGCTTGAGGGATGATTATATGTGACCAGGAGAAGGAAAATATATAGCTTAATACAAAACTCATCACAAGGCAGTCGCTTGGGAACATCTTGGTGACCAGTTCTGCCTATGAACTTTGACCTAAAGTAGGGTTTCATAGCATCCAGGAAAATTACATCAATTAAACGTAGTACTTTTTTCCCAATAGAAATAACTGCTTCCATGGGTTTAGCTTTCGCTATCACGAGTACGAACTAAAATATTTATATACACAGGTATGTGCTTTTAATAGAAATATGAAACATTTGCACTCAGTTGTCTGCAAATCCAACATTGAAGTGATTAAGATTAAGCCCTTTTTCAAGGGAAGTGGTCACAGAAAGGTGTTGAAGAAAGCTTCATGACAGTAGTTATAGTAAAAGAGAAAGGTTCGCCACGTGGAATACAGCATAAAGTTTGTGTCTCTAAACTCTGCAACAAAAGTTTTAGAAACAGAGGCTATAAGATGTAGCCCCCTTTTTTTTTTTTAAAGAAAATATGTTTGAAAGTGAATTCATTTTCCTGTTTTGTTTCAAATCAAGTTCTTGAAAAGAATGATCTCTGTGTCATTCTTGAATTCAGAGATTTTGGAAGATGAGTCAATATTCTTTCGTCTCATTAGCTGTTTGGAGTTTAAGTAACTTTCAAATGTTTTAGCTTTGAAACTTGAAACTCAATACAAATTATTTTTTACTGATGAAAACTTAAAAACTTACATTGCATTTATCAACTTTTCAATTATGTTTACACCTGCATTTCTTGATTTTTCTTCCCTGTATTTTAGAATAATAATATTCCCATTTGAGGTTTTATATACATACATAGATCTCTT